GAGTGATGCGTGATAACCAATTGCTGAGTCACAATTCGCACACTATCTGTCCTAAATAGTATTCGAAATTAGACTTAGTGTGTCCCAAATTGTAGTATGTTGAAATGAGTATTCCAAAGATACCCGGATCATCGACCTTTTCCGGTTAGAATCCGAAGTGCAGATCCATGCACACGTTAACGACTAAAATTGCCCACAACCCACTGCGCATTAGTCGAGGATTCGATTAGAATTACAAACACGCATTGTTACGTTCCACGTGGGGGTTTGTTTTGTTTTCACTAGTCTGTGCACGCTGGTATACTTCGCACGTGTTGATAGTATATGCTCATTATCTGTTTCTGTTTCTAGCTCACTCTTGGCTGGCAGGCTGCTGTGATTGGCCTAGCGAGACGTCACTCATCGTTGGGGCGGCGCCCGGGAGCCAATCAGAGTTGACCAGCTGGGTTCAAAAGGATGGCGTTTTCATTCATTCGATCTCTTGGAAGCGGCCATGAGCTCGTGTAGCGTTGTGAGGTTACTAAACCCGTGACTGGAGATTCATATAGTGATGACTGGCTCTTTGTAGTGGAATGAGTTGGGTGCTGTATGCTTTGTTTATATGTACCTTGATATTCAGTATGTTTTAGTTGTAGAGATCATAGTTTCAATGTGTATCCCAGTGTGACGCTGTGGGGTCCTGTAATTCGACTCTCTCTCTGGGAAAGAGAACGACAGGTCAGTATGCCGCGGTATACATAATGCCCGTAGTGTTTATGTGTTAGATACACTAGGTTAGGAGTGAGCGCCACTCTGTGTATGTTTTTGTTAATAGTTAGCTTATTTAGGTGCCGAATGCACTGAAGATTTCGGTTTTCTTTTCACCTTTTTCTTTGGTTAGGTTTAGGTTTAGTATAAGGCTTGTTTTGTTATATTCTGTTCTTTTCTTTGGCGCCACTTTTTGGTTCTCTTTTCTATTATTTGATTATTATAATATTTGTAAACATTGTAAATAGCACACTCATTTTTCATCCAAACTGGAACTAGTGGCTTCGGCTTTGTGACAATAAAATCCAGTTTGTTTCTCTTCAAGTTGAGTCTGTCATGGTTTTCTCTCCACCGTATTCCTCCATCAGCAGTACTAATAAAACAAAACATCTCCTAGACTTTAAAAGATCGTAACACGCATAAAGTGGTAAAAAAAAGCTTCAAACATGGTAGGGGTGACCCCGAATAGTCGGAAGATTCGATGCTTCGATAGGAGGAGCCTGATTCGACTACCAATCTCACGGTCGAATCTTCGCAGATGTGTTATTAAACGAGGATTATGTCATTTTGGCTATATGAGTGTGCTCAATGTCTGATTTCACAGAGAGCTACTGGTTTTCTGTCAATACGTTAATATACAGCCTATTATGATAATGCTGTCAATAAAAATGTGCAAAGAAAGAAGCTTTTAATAAATATTTTTTAACGTGCGTGCAGCGTGAATAAATCCAAACACCCCGTGACAGATTTAAGTTTCACTTTCGATCCGTGACCGACAGAGGAGCGTCTTGTCGGCAGGGATTTAAATCTTTAAAAATGTCTGGGATAAGAAAATCTAAAGATGCACACTGTCAGAAAGGATATTCTCCAAGGCTGGATTTAGCATCAGGAAAACCATGATCGCACTTCTGCCGGCCAACGTTAACAGGTTGGTTTTCCTCGGGACGTTCTAAAACGCTTAACGTGAAAAAAGCTTTTAAAACGCTTAAATGGCACTTTTACGTGCTTAATGTGCTTTACGTGCTTAGGCTACACACCTTAAGAAACCATTCTATGTGCAGATAAGCAGATGAACCCAGAATATGAACGCAACGCGTTTCTCCTATAAAGTCACGTAAAGGTTTTCTATGGGAGGAAAATGCTTAACGTAGCCTATAATAAAACGCGTTGGGTTCATATTCTGGGCTCATCTGCTTTTCTGTAGGCTATATAGTAGGCGCTTTATTAATAAGGTGTGTACAGAATTTGATCTTTTAATATAGGCTAACAGTTTTAGGACAAAGCCGTAAGCATTTTTCACGTTTAGCGTTTTAGAATGTATTTTATCCGCGCACACAATTTGAAAAGACTCAAACGGACACAGGCCGAGTGAAAGACTGGATTTTGTTTTCTCGATCGATCAGGTATGGGTACAAGTGATTTCAAAACATTTCAGCCGGTTCTAATTTGATTTTTGGATGTGAACACGTTTAGCTAAAAAGACTGCCGCTCCAGTTTAGCGTTTATTGTTGTTTCTGCAGTTAAAAAGACAAAGTTGACAATCCTGGCCATACTTTCGTTATTTTAATAATTTCTTTATTTTTATTTTATTAATTGATCACTCAGGGTGATCTAACTTGTGACTTGTGTTTTGAATATTTGTTCCCCTGCACTTTAGGCATTTTGCACACATTTGTTCTGCTTCTTGTGACTTGATTCTGACATATTTCGTTTTGTATTTTTATTTATTATAAATTTAGGCCTATATTGTGTTCTTAATTGTTGATTATTTTTCAGTGCATCGATGTTGCGCTGTAGGCCTGAGCATGCTCGTACAGGCAATTCAGCCGATTTAATTTGATTTGCATGTGAAATGCAAATCCTATCTGCAGTGTGGCCTTTCTGCAGTTATTTATGTTATTTCTTAGTTTTATTGATCCAAAATGTTTTTATACATTTTCTTCTATATCTTTGTGTGATGTTCTGTACATCGCGGCTTTAAAATGTTAAAGCCCCGCCCCCTCCCCAACACCACACACATGATTCGACTATTAGTCGACTATAGGCAGGACTTGACGAATCTGATTCGACTATGAAAATCCTTAGTCGAGGACACCCCTAAAACATGGTGGATGTGTGAGTCCGACGGTTTTTATATATGAAGAAATGAAACCTCAAACCTGCAGTGTTATTTTAGTATTCTACTATAGTATTTATTAATATTCTGAATTGGCTTTTATTTTCTATGCTTTCAGTTTTCATTTTACTTTTTAAGTTGTAGTAATTTAGCTTTCATTTATTTTTATTTCGGTTCCAGTTTTGGTCATTTTAATACTTCATCTTATTTTATTATTTTATTTCACAAGTTTAGCCTCAAAAAATAAGTGTTCCAAGGTGGGCTATATTTTTTTATTCCAGCTTTATTTCAACTAATGAATATTGAATATATTTTTTAATAGGTTTAGTTTGACAAAAACACTGCAAACCTGAAAAGAAAGTTTCAAGTGTTTTCGTCCATAGAATTAAAGTCAAAACAACACCGGACCCCATTGATGCTTGCTCACTGCATGGACAAAAAAAAAAACCCTTCTCAAAATATCTATTCTAAAAATACCTTCTTTGTGCCCCACAGAAGAAAAAGAGTCATGATGAGGGTAAGTAAATAATGACAGAAATTTCATTTTTAGAATCAGATTTGACTTAAAGTGACCTGGACCTGGTTTAATTTACCTACAGTGTTTAAGAGAGGGTTGATTTCAGCTTCCAGGAGTATAGACTGACATTCTGGACACAATTTGGTGAAAACACTGGCGTCTAAGTTTCAGCAAAACACAACAGGCTCTCTATAACGTGGGAACAATGGCAGTAGGAGGGCTAGCTGTTACAGAGGGCAGCGGAACATTATGCAAGGTTAACATTTCAGACGGGACAGCATTAAAGCATGAAGGGGGCACCAACTACCATCACGTCCTCCAGAGGGGCCTTCACTGCCCCATTCAATACTAACCAATGAAGAGAAACCAAGCTGGAATTTATGACATCAAGAAGCTTAACAGAATCATGCTCCAGGCGATGTGTTCACCCCAGAAGTGACTCATGGAAGCTTCCCGCTCTAAGTGATTCCTTTTATCTCACAATTTATCACTCTCTTACATGAAAACCATAGTGGAGTGATTGGTCCTCAATGATGAGGTAATGGAGAAATGTCCATATTTAAGAATTAAGAGTCACTTGAGAGAGAGAGATTTTACCCCCCCCCCCAAAATAAAATTGAGTCATAATTTGCTCACTCTCAAGTTTTTCCAATCCAAACCCAACTGGATATTTTCCATACCATTAGTGAACATGGCTGTCAGGCGTCAAGGAGGATCAACAATAGCACAATTACAGTCATCCATACAGCTCATTTCCTATATTTCAAGTTTTAGGTGAGTTATTAAACACTAGAACAAAAGAATAAAAAATATTCTTAACACTTGGATCAATTTCAATGAAATACGTTTTGCTGAAACATGTAAACCACATAAAATAAAACCATACACCTAAAAGATATGCTTTTTCTGATAAGCTCCAGCCATTCTGATCAGATAAAGAATAAGAACAGAGAGCAGATGCAAGCAGAAAAACTGACATTTTGTGATTTAGCATTACAATCAATAACACCATAACCGAATTGATCTAGAACTGATAATATCACTTTTTCTCTAAATCACTACAAAAACATGGAAAATCCATTCGTGGAAAAGAGAAAGACTGAAAAGGCCAAAAAAAAAAAAGTATCATTTCCTACATGGACATGGAAACTGAATGGTGTGTGAGGTAACGTTAATCTCTGTTAAACCTGTGAATTGACCCAAGCTCGCCCCACTAATGAGACCTGGATAATCCTATTTATCCTCCACTCCCCCCACTTCTCAATGGGATGTATTCTCCAGACCAGGAAAGGTACTGAAAAAGCGAGATCCAACAAAACCAGCCTAATCCATTCCCATGGGAAACAGGTGATTTGTCTAACGTTACCTGGATGGGAATTTGAGAATCTATCCAACATTATACGTGTAACTATACCTCAGAAAGATAATTTTATAAATAAAAATGAACACTGGTACGTAATATTTCATACAAACTCGTACGTTCATGTTACATGTTGTGAAATGAATAAGGTAAGTTAACGTCAAGATGTTGGAGAAACGCAGTGAGAAGACAATGGAGGCAATTAAGGATTTTGAGAGACACAATAATAAGCAAATGAACTGCAGATCCACAAAACTTACCCAAAATATGATGTTGAATCCGAATAAGAAGTATTTAACACAGCAGCTGACCTCTGCTCCTTTAAAATGATGATGGTTTCTGCTCATTTTGTCCAGGGCAGCTAACGCTGTTGTGTTGATTCAAATATCAACTAAATACAAACGCAACGGCACAAATTCGATTCGATAACTATTCATGCATCTACATTTCCGCCGAAGCTGGGAACCAGCAATCGCAAACCACAACACTGCACCATCACCAGACGCTTTTTTCCACAGAGCTGAATTCCTCAGGTTTTAACATATAAACAAGGGGTGAAGGGGTAAATGGGTGGGGAAATGAATGCTCCAGGTCCCCCCTGATAAACCCCACTCGCTTTGGATTGCTGTCATGAGATGTGTTTGATATTTTAACCTTGTTGTGAACGTCCCGAGGAAACAATCCAAAGCAATCTAACAATCCAGTAAGAATAGAGAAGCGTGACACTGCAATCAGAGGACAAGAGCTCACTGTCAAGTGAACGAGCTGTCATAGTAAAAGTCCTGTCAGAGACAGAATCCATTACATTGATGATTTATAAGGCATTGTGAAATATACAATGTCTTTCACCTTGCTCAACTTTTTAAAGCAGTTCTTTAAGTAATTTCAGGTTCGAAATCTGTTGTGTTCGTCTTGAGAAAGTATTCTTTTCCAATGAATTTGTAAGCATGTTGTTGTTTTCGTTTATATCCTTAATTTAATAAATCTAGTGATAATGTTTAGAACTATGTTTAGTAGCCTATAGCATATTACATGTCCTGCCCCAAATCTTGTAATTCCCACCCTGCATTAATAAACTGTATTTTGCATATTCCATATCTTGTATGTAAATTCATTCAAATTCATGTTTTTTTTAACCTTTTCCCTTTCTTTCTTTTTGATTGATTTACCCTTAATTTCTTAAATTTCTGTAATTAATTTCCTCTATTGTCCATTCCACTTAATAGTATATACTTTGTCAATGTTGTAAATGCTGACAATCATGTGTTATAATTGAATAAAACAAAAATAATGTCTGGTAATACATATACGTGTGTGTTGTGTGTGTGTGTGTGTGTGTGTGTGTGTGTGTGTGTGTGTGTGTGTGTGTGTGTGTGTGTGTGTGTGTGTGTGTGTGTGTGTCAGCTCGAAACGTTTACTGGGATTCTGCTTTGTCCGACTAAATTGTCAAAATTAAATTTTAATTACAATAGTTGATTAAGTGTTTTACATTAATGACACTTTAAAAAATATATGAAATCAAAAGTCATTTATACATTCTGTCAAATATTATCCAGGGGGGGCTTACCCCAGACTGGGGGCCAACCATAGACTGTATAAAACAAGGGGCCAACTTGTACCCCAGTAGTGAATAATTTTACTTATTTATTTACTATAACACATTGGCTGATGTGTTATAGTAAATATAGGCTAGTATATAAATCATCATCATCCTATACATGTTAAACTTATACCATCTAAATATGTTACAATTTAAAAGTAAATGCACATTGTTCTTAAGGGCAGAGGACGGGTTATTTTATTTTGTCACTTCCGGTTGTTGTTGTTGTTATTCATCGTCGCTTATTGCTGCTATTGGAGCAGTTCTTATGCAGCATCAATGCAGCATTGAGGGTCTCTCTGGAGAATGTATAGCATGTTACCCTGTTAATATGAGTAAATAATCTAAACAGAAAATAAACAGCCTCTGAGATCTGATATTCTCATGAACAGTTCATTTTATTTCACATTTTTTATTTACTATCATGAAGACACTTTACAAAAGAACAAACTGTTCCTTGACGTCACTGAGGACCATGTTGCCGTTACTGAGGAAATAATGCAAAATGTATTATTATTGAATCTCTTTTTAAGCCTCTAAGCCTTTTTTTTTTAGTTTTCTTAGGAAAATTTTAAGGTTGAATACTAAATTAATACACAGTGTATAATGTCAGCACATATGTGGTCTTTATCGTTGTATTTCGGAGGATTTCATTTAATATTGAATTGCTTGTATTAGTCGTTAATTGATATTATATTATATTTTCTTTTGAACTTATGTCCTGATTCCTGAGTTTACCCTCTGCAGTGATGGAGACAATTGGAATGACACCAGTTTACCATTTTAGTCCTGTAGGTGGCAGTATTGACCAGGCATCTCTGGTCTTTTCTGACTAGCTCTCTTTAAGAAACATTTGGCCCAACTATGTTTTTTTATTATTATTAATCCTATTATACAATGCAATTCACGAACTAGATTAGGCCTGTATGATTTCTAAGAGCTTGTCTATACTGGCCAACAAGTTTTGTCTGTGTGTTTTGACTTTTGTATTAAATTTTGGGGCAAAATAATAATGATGATGATATACATTCATTTATGTAAAATATTTCATGTCCCATACATGCCACATCTATCAGGACCAGAGTTCATAATATATATATTTCTATAATCACACTATTATCTTGTATGTTCCCTCTAAAATATTGAGGAAATCACAAGATTGACACAACATTTGAAATTATAGTTGGTGCTTTCAGTGTCAAAGGATATCAAGAAATGAAGACATTTATCCAAGATGACATTATTTGTGTTTATTCACTTAATTTAAAAAGAACTGAACAGAGAGAGATAATATTGAGGCTGGTTATTCAGACATGGTATCAAACTTAAAGGAAAAGTACATGTAAATTGAATAATGCGTAACTTCTCCCATAATCCAAAGGAGTGATAGCGCAAGTACACAGGGTCTGTAAAGCATCCTTGAAAGTGATACGTTTATTTTCACCAAAGGTGCCAAGTCACTTTACAGCTGATGTCTCTGTCAATCAAAATTCTCCATATGCAAATACTCAAAAAATCTGCTGATGTATTTGAGTGCAGGCTAACATGAGCACTTGGCATGCATGACCCTTGAGACTTAATCTTTACATGAGTGCTAGTATTCAGCTCAGACAGATTTCAATATGTAATTTCATAACTATGAAAGACAAACATTTGGTATCGAGTAGTGTGAATTAATACACATACAGAGTGTGCTGTTAGAAATATACCAGTCAAGTGTAATGCATGCTGCAGACAGTCTGACAGAGGTGTTTATATATGATAACCCTTACAAGTGAAGTGACCCTTGAAATATATTTCTGTGAAATGTGTAAAAAAGCAACTATCTCTCCTTACTGTACCAACAGAGTACTCAGTCACCCTAAAACCAGAATTACTTCAGTCCCTTATATGTGATATACTGAAATGATATGAACATTAACTTATACTGCCAGTTAACCTAAGCAAGAATTCTCTCTTCACCTGTTTCGCCCTCTTGGGAAACTGAAAAATAACTACTAAAGCAAGGTGCATTAATGAACACTGAAATTCAGTTCAATCATGTTATTCCTACATTTCACGTGAAATCACACTGCACAGACCCCCTAATGCTTTATATTTTCTCCTCTCCTCTGTCTGTACATCAGACCACCTATTTTGTTTCTGTCATGTATATCAGCACTAATAATATGGAAACCGCATTGGATTTCAAATCACTAGCATCTTCCATTTATAGTATACGTAATGTAGTAAATGTCCTACCTTCTCTCTTATACCGTAAAAACCTTGCTGTGTCGTTCTGCCTTTACATCTAAACTGACACAATCAGCAATAAGCAGTCAGTTCCTTCCAAGTTTGACTTGAGTCGGAGCTACGAATAGTGTCACATTCCAATACTCTCACACATTGTCAAAACATACTGTACAAAAAGCAAAAATCCCTTTTGTATTTATGTCGATTTTTTTTTTTTTTTTAAATGAGGTTAATAACTAATACTGCTTTGAAAAATCTTGCACATTACTTTTTATCTTTGGTAATAAGCATCAAAGTTCTTTGGTACACCTTTCTGAGACCGTGTAATGCCTTCATTAGATTACAGACTGAGACCAAGATGTGACTTTACAGAGGAACAGTTTACTCTAAAATGAAAATGTAATCCTCTTTTATTCACCCTCGTGTTGTTGCAAAATCACATGACCTTGATCAAATCTTTCTTTCTTAGAACAAACAAGAACATGAAAGTGAATGTGCACAGATGCTGTCAGGCTCCAGCAATGATATTGTGCACCATAAAAGCAGGCGATTTGATCTATTATGATTTCATCTGAAATAGAGGGGAACATTTTCAGCATCAACAGTTTAAATTCTGAAAGTAAATCAGATGGCTTTAGAAGATTTGGAATATAATATAACATTCTGTTGACCACCTCATTTTGTGTTTCCATGAAATAAAGTCATTTTGGTTTAGGTAAACATTTGGGGTGAGTAAATTATGACAGAATTTTTATTTTGGGTGATCATTCAAAGGTTTGGGGTTGGTACGATTTTCCTGTTTTTGAAATGAGCTCTTATGCTCACCAATAGATTTGATCAAAATTACAATAAGAAAATGTAATATTGTGAAATTATGACAATTAAAATAACTGTTTTCTATTTTAATATATTATAAAATCGAATTGATTCATCGGATGGCAATGCTGAATCTTCAGCTACATTTGTTTCTTAAGAAACATTTCTTATTTGTATCAATGAAAACAGTTGTCCAGCCATATTTTTGAGAAATCACGATACATTTTTTCAGGATTCTCAGATGAATAGAAAGTTCAAAAGAACAGCATTTATTTTTTTGTAACTATGTAAAAGTCTTTTGGTCATTTTAATGCATCCTTGCTGAATAAAAGTATAACTGTTTTTTTGTGACTTTAAACATTTGAATGATAGTGTATTTTTTATCTTGGATAGATTCCATCACACAGTCAACATGAGTACTGTATGAAATGTTTAGCCATGTACTGCAAATCCACAATGCTGTATTTTTACATTCAATATTTATGGGGCACTTTGGTCTACCACGAAATCAGGCTGAAGTATAAATCATCCTTAAGTGCTTCCTACAGATCTTCAGGCAGGCCTCCCCTCTTCACCTGCAGACCGCCGGTCCAGCCACGGGGGCAGGTGTTGTGGCTGCGCACTCCTGGAGAGCGCAGACCTGAATCCTCAGACTCGACCGAGGCGTCGGAGTCGGTCAGCGAGCGGGTGTTGTACAAACGCACCGGAGAGTGGATCATGCGGGTGGGCGATGGACTGGTAAGGGTGGGCGACTGAGCCCCCAGCATCCGTGGCTGAAAGGGACTAGCGGGCTTGTGTTCATAAGGCAAGATCCCACCGTTCACCGGGGAGATGGGCAGACTGCGCCCGCTCAGCGACCTGGGAGACGGACTGTTTTTCCGCTTGGCGGCATTGATGATGTTTTTGGCCAAAATGCGATGGTTGGCTTTGGTGTCCTGGATGGCGGCCGGGGACTGGCACCTGGTTTCCCAGGGTGGAGACACAGGAGAGGTGGCGGTAGGCTTGAAGATGGTACCTGGAGTGGTTGCAATGGGTCTGTGGATGGGTCTTGGGGAAGGGCATGTCGCGACGGGCCTATGGATGGGTCGGGGGGAGGGGGAGATTGGTGTGGGCTTGTAGATGGGGCTGGATGATGTAGAGGTCACTAGAGGGCTGCTGGGGGACCAGACAGCAGTGGAAAGCACCTCGGGGCTGGTGAAGCGTCGAGTGAGGTTGGGCGTCCTGGAGGTTGGGGTGGTGGAGCCGGGGCTAATAACTGGTGCCGGGGTCTCCTCCTTAATCTGACAGAAGATTAGAAAAGATTAGTTTTAGAGGTGAGACATCACTTTGATTTAGTCTGCGTTGTTAAATACACTCACAAAAACACTGAACATTGATAATAAAAGGGCTCAAGAGTAAGGATTTTTCTGCTTTCCATTGTTCATATTTCTACTTGCTTTGCGAACAATCTTCACTGGAATCAAATCAAACTGTAACCTGTAATCAATTAATAATTATCATACTGATCCTTTAATATTTACATTTATAATATAAAAGTGATATTTTAAGTGTAGAACTTAAGTTAATATTTATTTTTACATTTTATTTAATACAAATATTTAAAAACTAAAAATAATAAACATTTATATCTTTTTTTATTTTTAATACTTAAAAAAAAAATTGCTAGCCAGATATATAATAGCTATACATTATTATACAGGAAAGTCCAATAAAATTCATACACATTTTTAGTGGGCAGATAATCCTGGACAGCATGTTAGATCATTTTATTTAGCTGACAAGGTTAAAAAGTTGACAAGCATAATTCGCAACCAAATGTCACAGAAAACAAGGCATAAATTGTGGAAGGAATAAAAATGTGTGTACTTGATCAAATATATATATATATATATATATATAGCACTGATCTAATACGGCAGCTCAGTAAACTAGCCTAAAACTCACACTGGGCCAGCAGATAATCCTTATTGTCGAGCCCTCCATAACATATTATGATTCATTTCTTATGGACAACATTTGTTTTAAATGCAGATAGTGAGGAATGTTAGTGCACAGAAACAAAGACATCATCATGCTCGAGGTATTACAACAGCAGAACAGTCCTGAGTCCAATGAAAGCACTACACTACCTCTTCAAAAACCCAAATTCATGCCAGGACCGTGCCCACGTTTGAGTAGGATTAACCTGTAAACACGGCATTGGAACACATCTAAAACACCTCCTGCTGCACTGCATGCAACTTTAGATGCGATGTTATCGATATCAGGCCTTCTCGTGCACCCTATGATTACATCGAGCTGTTTATTCTTGTCTGAATAGTTTCCCAGCACACCAGGATATCATGCCATCTCCAGATCACTTGCATACACGCTGCCAAGACCACTAACCTTTACTGAGATATGCATTTGCACTGTTGTGGCTGCTGGGTATGTTTTCACCTCCAGCAAATGTGTTTTTCCAAGCATGAGGGAGGCCAGAGGTCAAGCCGTTAGCCTAAAGCTCACGTCCACAGGGGCCTGTTTCAGCTCAGATGTGCATTTTTAGGGGCAGGCCAGGAATGTGCAGGGCACATACATAGTCAGCATTAAAAAAGTTTCTAATTTCATTTTGGGTCAGAGCACTATGCGGCGGTGGCTCTGATACACATGTCTTTGTTTTGTTGTTGCAAGTGTATAGGTAAAATAACTCTCTGTGTGGGAAAACTGGCCTCGGATTCTCATCACTGAAAAGATGGATACAACCAAAAAACTGAAATAACTGATTATAGGGGATGCTGAAAATAGAACAAGAAATCCACACAGGAAATTCAGCAGATTAGTCAAGACAAGAAGATATAGTATGAAAACCAGAGACAGATCAGAAAAGGAGTGTTTCACTGTTTTAATGAAACAGAGTAGACAAAATCATTTGAAAGAGATTAAGCCAGAAGTTAAACAATCCATTTGAAAACAACCAGCATAAAAATATATTCCACATACTGGGTGTAGCGATAAAGTAAGCTGACTTCATTAAACTCAATTATGGCTTTGTTGAATCAGAGGTCTTAAGTTTAACAGTGTATGCACACTACATTAAGTACATACTCTCACACAGCATGCAAGCTGTAAACTACACATATAAATTAAAGAGAAACATACAGAACTAATTAAGAAAGAACAGCGCAGGTGGCGTGCTATGAAGTACTGAGGCCCTCATATCTTCCTAGTCATATTAAATTGTATATTGTAGATCATAAAAGGCAAGACGCCATCTGCTAAAGTGCTTTATAAGACTGTGTCAACTCCAACCTGAAAACTTGGAGGCAAGCATTGGAAAAAGACACACTGGTTTTGTGCCTAAAATATATCTGGCATGAGCACAAAACTGAATAATCTCTAGTTCTGAAACACACAGCTGCACTAAATTACAATGTCTTTGATTAAAAGAAAACAAGTAAGTTTCAATGTATGGCCCTCTGCTGGCCAGTTCATGAATTACAATTTAAATCAGTTTTAAGAGTAAGTGTGAGACCTGACATTTATTGCCTCTGCATGCAAAACACAAAAATTAAATAAGAAACAAACCGATCTGACCATGAAACCAACAGTGCTACATTTATTGTTTCCAGTAGAGCTATTTTTGTACCTTACTGCTCTCTTGTTACTTCTAAATGGACAGACAATATGTGTCCCTTTTTCTTCCCTTCCAATTTTTTTTTGGTCTGAAGAGTACATAAAGCAAAGAAGAGCAGAAATGGAAAGGTTTAAAAGAATGAAGATGGTTTCCACACCTGTGGGGTGATACCAGCTTTTTTGGCGGAGAACGTAGGACGTGGAGCTTGGACGCCAGAGCGAGGTGAAGCCACACGTCCTGGAGCTAATGGAGACACTGGGGAACTGACGCTGCTTGCTGTGATGGGACTGAGAGGCGTCATGGGAGGCGAAAAGCAATGGGCTGACCGATAGGCAGCAGACGGGCTGTACGGTGATGGCAATGGGCTTGTTGGGAGGGACGATTGTCTCGAGTAGGAGTGGGCTGTCATGACAGGTTTAGGAGCTGGGGCGGCTCTGGGAAGAGTGCTGTAGGGATCTTTTGTTGGGTTGAAGATGAAGAGGGATGAGTTGAGCTGGTACGGCTGATGTCTTGACAGCTCCATCTCGATTTTAGTGCAACCGTTCTCCAAGGGTATCTCTGGTGGTGGAGACAGAGCGGGTCCTGGCATTTTGGCAGGGATAGTCTTTTTCTGTGTGGCCTGCTGAGCTTGAAGTGTCTTTGAAATCTGCAAACTAATATTAGAGGTGTTCACTATGGCCTTTACTCGACCGGGCATGTTGGATGGATACACCCACGAAGGAGGCAAGGACGTGGTAGGAGAGGGAGATCTCAGCTCCTTGCTGTCATGGACGTACCTTTCCATTCTCGACTGGCGTTTGGCAAACAGTTCAGCTCCTTTTCCTGAAGCATTGGTCAGGGCTTGCTCAGGCTTGTGCTCAGGCTTGTGCTCCGTCCTGTCACGTGTCCTGGAGCTTTTCAAACTCGAGGCCCACTGTGGCACTAAAGCTTCCTCGTGAACGTCCTCCTTGGCCAGGAAGTTTGAGGCTTCGGCCCCAAGAGCTAGCAGCTCCTCCTCCTGCGCTGCATCTGGCTGGGGTTTCGGTTTCTTCTTTTCATCTGCACCCTGCACCAAGGACAGGAGTTCAGGATTCGGAGCCACTTTTGGCTTCTCCTGAAATGTGAACATTGACTTACGGGTTGCTCGGCGAGACCGGCCCTCATCGAGGATACCCGTTTTGATAGGCGTTGAGGATCTCTTCTCGCTCAAGAGTTCAGGGACAAATGTAGGCCTGGGGGCAGATGGGCGGATGTAGTAGGAAGAAGGTTGGGGTGAGGGAGCATAGGCTGTGTCAGGTGGAGGAGGGCTGGAGTAGCTAGGGAGAGGAGGAGTTGGATATGAAGGCGGAGGTGGTGGTGGTGGAGAGAAAACAGGTCTTGCGTGCATTTGGTAAGTTGAAGGCTGTGGTTCAAAGTGTGTTGTGGAGTCATGGGATGGGGTTGGAGGGAGTTCCATGACTGAACTTGTAGCTTCAGAGGATCCAACTGTTGGCGGGGAGAAAAATGGTCGAGCTGTTCTGTTTATGATCGTGGGCTGTTTAGTCACCGTCTTGGCTGCTTTTCCATTGCACTGCATACTGTATCCATTCGCAATTTCTTTATTGTACGCTCCATTGGATTCAGCTTCATCCTGACCAGTTCTGTCCATAACAACAAGGGTATTCCCACTTCTAAGAGTAACCTCATCCTTAACATCCTCTTTAAGGTCTTCTGAGAGCTCTTCATCCTTCTCATTGACGGGTAGAAAGTGTCTTTCTAGGCCACTTTCCTCTGCTAAATCCTCCCGCGTAACCTTGCTAGCATCTTCCATGTCACAACCAGTACTGCGGATTCTGCCAGCCGACCACGTCAGACCTGTCTTGAGGTTCCTGTGATTCAACTCTGTATGCTGGTCCTCAGTAGAGTGCTGTTTGACCCATGTCTGTGGACTTTCAGAAGATAAATCAATTACATTCTCAGATGCCTCCGCTCCCCCTCCTCCGACACTCACGAGTGTGAAAGCGTTCACTCTCTGTCTGCGACGGTTGAAAAGTTGTACACCTTTAGAGTTGGAATTGGCCTGGAGCTGAGCAGCAATGATCTGACTCTTGGTACGTGCCTCTTTCAGCTCCTTCTCTGACAAACTGGCACTTCTGCTGAGGTCTGTAATGGTAGAATAAAACAATAATCAACTCAAGAGAAAATGTAAATTAGCCTATGTAATACATTCACAGCTATGGCAACTGCAAAGCTTTTCAGTTCACAAAGACAAGTAAAGTGTTGCTCAACTCAGCTTATAAATATAAATTTTAGCACATACCACCAAGTCTTATGAGGGAAGTGCTATTTTAAAATGCACTTAATTGTTTCAGCCTTACAAACAAAGGGTGATGCATATACTTTCACAGGCCTGTTTTATTAGAGAGAGTAATGGGAAAGGATTTGGCAAATATTAACCTAATTTATTTCATGATCTCACCATTGCTGTCACAATCATTTGGGTGCTGTATAAGTTTCGATTATAGTAGCAATGTGCTCAAATGGGAGTATAATTATCTTAAAAGTCAAGAGTATTATATATCTTTCAAGTAATTCTAGTTTCCATGAGTCACCCTACTAAAAAGATTAATCATATTAGTTATAGTCATTTTTGCAGACAGGCTTATAAAAGAAATGCTGACATATAAAGTTCAAGTGTTTTCGTTCAAAATGATTATCTTCACAGTTTGCTGTGATTCACGATCCATGCAGGCAAACTTTTGTAGACCGCATAATGTTTTCACACATTTATAGTTCTAAGAACCTCCTGTAAATAAATCGTGATGCTGATATTTGCAGTTCTACCCATAGTTTGGCAAAGATGGATGTTAAAACAGTCATCTATTTGTTGAAAATGGCAAAGGTTTATTGACTGGGCTAAAAAGCCTCATTCCGAGCTGGAGAAAGTATTTCCTTCACCATGGGCTCTAGTCCCTCCCTTAGCATTCCGCAACTGCCGAGAAAATTCCCTCTTGAGACTGCAGCATACCTTGTGAAATCTCTCTAAGGCACAGGAGTCATCGGTTTATAAGCTGACATCCTGACAGGTTCATGCCTTTCCATCATCACTTACAAGACAAAGTCTACATTTAAATGCTTGAACTTTGACCTGCAGTGATATACTGTGGCATCAAAGTTTCAGTAAATAAAACAAGCGTGCTTGAAGATCCTGCCTACAAAAGAATGAGTGCCTCAGGAAAGGAACAGAACTTTTAAAACACAAACCCTCAACATCTTACACCAGAACATCACATCCTGAGAAACAGACTGTTAACAATTACATCACTGGCAGAACGGCTTCACTCACTTAATATAAGCGTGGTTAACCTGTGCAACATAAACACAATCTGTTTCCCTAGACCTTTGAATAATTAACCACTCAAGGTTTCCCTGAGGTAGTTTTCAGCTTTTATCCTCAACCCCAGACTTCGCAGCAAAACTTGCAAACAATTTTGAGGGGTTTTTTCTCCGTCCAAGCAGGTAGGTCTCTTTGTCTTGCCAGAGCCATAATTTTTTTTAAAAATGTAGTAAAAAAGCAACAGTTCTAAATCTATCCCATTTGTTTCATGTGCAAGTTTGCCAGACTCAAAGGAGCTTTCATAGCACATGAAATAAAATTATAATAGAGCATGAATAAAATGCATCTCTGCCTTTCATTCCACCAGAAAAAAAACACCTCTTTTTTACTCAGGCTATGCAACACAACCTCTAGCACTGTGATATAAAGCTTTCCATTTTTCCTCTTTACAGATATTCATCTTTATGTTATTTAAAATAATTTACCATTTAAAAACCTTGAGCAAAATCCACTAGTCAGCCATAAACACACATGCAACTTTCCTCTTTTCTTTTCTTTTCATTTGGATGTTTCCCCAGTCTAGCCATGTATCTTTCAAGAATAATTTATTTAAACATAATCTAAATAAGAAAATTATCAAATTATCTGATGCACAGTTTACACTTGTTCCTTATTCTTTTAAAAGAATTACATTTTCCTGTCACATTATCAGAGCCAGACCATTTATTCCGTGACGAGTTACTGTGACTCATTGAGCTTTCTCTGCTTTCTACTTTTTAAATGACAATAAAACGTTAATGCTCGCAAAATAATAACAATTTAAAAAAAAATTGTGTAGTTTTTAGATTTAGTTGATTTAGATTACAAAATAAATGTACAACCAAACTGTTAAAATACACAATGCCTGACATATCCACCGAGCAACTTGTCACTTTAACTTCAAAACAATGTCCTTCTCTTCATTTAAACACTTGTGTAAACTTTGTCTATCTATGTCTAAAGATAACCCAAAGCAACCAATCTGATTTTTCTTTTAAAACAGCATGGATTCATTACAAAATGTTGCTCTCCTGTCACTACTTTAATGCAGAAGTATATATTTTATATGATATAATTGGAATGATCTATGTGATCAAACCTCAGAACGTATCATGACTTCACCCCATGCCTTTCACCAATCTATGCCTTTTTTACGCAAATACAGCTTTTAAACTGCAACCAATATGTCGAGTCTAACTAAACTTCTCTTACCTTAATTAACTCTGAATACAGTCTCTTTTGTTGCTGCTCCGCGAGCTTTTCTAATTTAACTTCATGTGTTTCCTCCACTCCCCCTTTAGCAGCGCGAGCCTGGATCAGATTTCGTGTCGTTGCGAGTGATGGTTTCTCGCGAGCTCCAAATGCGCATCGAGGCGGGCAGGCTGGGGCATTGGACGAGGTTTGCGCTTCCCTTTTGCTTTTTAAGGATGGCTATGCCGTGTGACGTTCCTGGCTGACTTTTCTTCCTCTACTTTTTGGTTTTGTACTCTCCTATTTTAACTGTGAAGAACCAGAACAGACAGCATAGGCTACCGAATAGAGCGCGCGGATATCGTCACGCGGGGTAGTTGTCACAAGAGCTAGTCAGAAACTATAAGGTTTGTTTTGAGCCAAAAGTTCAATTCGAAAGATATTTTGTCTTGCAGTGGTTTTGTAGGTTGTTTTTAAACATGTATGGTTAAACTCTCTTGAATGAGACCGCATAATGTGATTTTTTTTTAAATCATTAAAACCGTGACAACTTGCCCCAACCTGACTTTGATGAAAAATACTTTTGTCCTGACAACACAGTTCAAACTTTCAGTTGACTCCTGCCTGAATGCAATTCGTTTTTAAGAGATTTTGTGTTCTGTTCACTTTACCAAAAGTGTGTGTGTGTGTGTGTGTGTGTGTGTACGTTTTCACATTCTATGCCAAACCTTGCCCATTTAAAGGCATAGTTCACATAAAAATTCTGTCATCTTTTACTCACCCTTATGTTGTTCCAAACCCTCATGACCATGAAACCCATTTCTTTCTTCTATGGAAAACCAAAGCAGAAGCAGAATGACAGCCTCAGTCACCATTCACTTTTATTGAATGAGGAAAATATGCAATGAAAGTGAATGGTGTCTGAGGCTGTCAGTCCCTGACTTTTTGCCAAATATATTAATTTGTGTTCTACAGACGAAAGAAAATCATGTGGGTTTCAAAATACATTAGAGTTAGTAAATAATTTAAAAAAATTCATTTTAACTGCTGTTTTCATTACCAGAGACCATGGATGCCGAAACGTTTTAAAAGCGTTCTTACAAAGAGGCATAAGCACCGAATTTTACAAGTTATGACTGCTACGGCCTTGGATGCACCTAAATAATCATACAGAATCCGTAAGTTTGCACATTCTGTTCCATGCCAAATTAAGTGGCCACATTTCAGCAGTGTCATGCATAGAATCAATGTGTCAGCTCTTTCAGAGGATTGGGTTTCAGGGGGGAGAGCCGTTTGGCGAACACGCTCACTTGTGTGGATGGACACCTGAGCCTCAAGAGTGGAGTTCAGTTTAGACCGCAGAGGTTTGCTTGCTTGAACCATCCTACCTGACTCATATCGCTCATGCTTAACTTATCATTAACATGAAGGAAAAGACAGGAACTCCCTCTAGCCTAAAAAGTAGTGGTATAGGAATGGACGGAAAGAAGAAATGTTCCCATTTCCTTGGCACTGAGCTGCCGGTGATATGTGGGCTCTTAGTTCAGACAGATGAGGGAAACTCCCTCACAGCTTGAGGATTTTGGGACCTGGCCGGCCTGGGGTTGTATATCAAAGGTCAGATTCCCCTGTCGGATGTAATTGTCCAGTTGGAGGATGGGATTAAATAACACTTTTCCTCTGGGAAAAGTGAGTGAGTATGGAGTGATGAGCTTGGAGCTGTTTAAGAACTAAAAAAAAACGTGAATGTGCAATTACACCTTAATGTCCAGAAAACCTGTAGGAGACTCTTTCTAACTCTCATGTAGGGCTAGGGCTGGGCGATAGACATAGATCATATCTCAGTATTTTTTTTTGATGAATGGCAATAGACGGTATTTATCTCTGTATTTTCTACTTTTCCTATTTGGATAAAAATCCAATATGGCACATGTAATGTCTAACAACAAATATTTTAGCAAAATGTATATTTTAGTCAGAATTATTGTGCTCCCATTCTATTTCACTCCATCTGTCGCACGGCACTCATTCACTGAAGTCTGTGAAGTTAAGAAGAGACTCACTTGCATAAAGCTCTCCTGACAGTAAAATGGAAATATTTGCATAACTTTCTAACATTTCCAGATAGAGAATATATCTGTGAAATCCCAAATGCATTAAACAGCACAAGTATCTGTCAGAACATCTGACGTGGCATTGGCAAGCCGTTTACTATATTTTACAAGTTATTTTGAAGCCCTTAATATAAAGCATGTGTCATGTTTAGGACAATTTGGATTATGCACTTTCCGCTCAGCAGCTCACTCTGTGTCCTCTGCTATGTTTCAGATGCTCTTGTAATATCAAACTACTGCATATCGATATAAACGGTATAGAGTGGTGCAGGGATGACGTCAGAACATGGAAGACTAATTCGCCACTGGTTCCTTCAAGATTTTTCTATGGGTTTTTCAGTTTACGAGTTAAATAAAGCCTGCACTAAAATATCGTCAAGTTATGTTTACCACAGGCTTTATTTTACTCATAAATAGAAAAACCCCATTATAAAACCCCATAGGAAAATCTTGAGGGAACCAGTGGCAAATTACTATTCTGG